TGCATGGAGTAGCTGGAAATTAGGGGTTAGAAGGAGGATATATTGACTGCAGCATTGTTGACAGAGAAGCCAGCATCTTTCATTAATGTCTGATGATAGAGTAAGGTCATTTTATGATTTAAGTCACTAAATATCTTACATATTGGACCTTTAATTCTCAGAACATGGAAATAGAGATGTTTGATCAGTGCCTACACTGTTTTTTGTAATGATGTTCCTGAAGTAAGCCAAAGCCGTATGTCAGATGTCAATCAGTAACAAAATACAGAAAGGAGACGTGATCTTCTGTGGCCAATTTGCAGAAACTCTTAACCCTTCACCCCTTCCTCTGCATCTCTTCACAGAACTCGACAGAATGGGATGTCTTACATCTACATCTACAAATACTACATGATGACCTGAACATCTGATAATGAAGGATCTAAATAAATTCAGTCAGGGTCATGAAACAATGATGACACAATCCACTGTCTGGAGAAAGAAGAAATGGATTACGTCAATGCCATAAAAATGTTTTTTTCAACCAAAGTGTGCAATATCTCTTACAGGGGACCTGTCTCCAAAGGTGGGCTCGTAAAGCCTTATACAAACATCACTCTGTGTCTGTTGGATCTCACTGTGAGCCTTTACTAAAACATTATTATTGTTTTCTTTACTGGCAGTAATGCTCCTCTGACAACAGCATGACTAGATTTACTTGCAGAGTGTGAAATCTAAAAAGGCCCACAGCCAACAGCACACACTCTACAACACATGAGTGCTGAGCCTGGACCCACAGATGAACATCATGGGAGCTGTATAGAGCAGACATGCTTTTATTTCTGCTCTTACTCACAGAGCTTGTACATTATTCAAGAAATCCTCCGTCTACCATGAATCATTTGTTAGAGCTAACATGAGCTTTCTGAGGCAGGACTACCATATTGCATCACACCCACCTTGAATGTGAAAACAGCTCCTGGACAAAACCTTTCCCCTTAAAAAACATCTCGTCCCACTAACAGCTCAGACTAGTTCCTCCAGGCTACTTTGTTCCTCAAGTTATTTTGGTTTAATTTTTTAAGATAAAGTTTAAAAGCCCTCCTTCGAAGATGAACAATGATTCATGGCTGTTCTTTTGAGACCTACAGTATATTGGCTTTTTAATGATTTACTTTCAAAACAGTTTAAGATAATTTTCAGAACTGCAGTTCTTTGCACTTCCACATTGGCTTCATTTTTCAGCACTGCATGATTCTTCTTGCTTGTGAGGCAAAACAAGGGCATTCATATCCTGCCTGTCCCTGGCAATCTGAAAGCTCCTCTAAAAAAAGGGAGACTCCAACAAAATCCACCCAACAATGTAAAACCTAAAGAGAAATGTTTGAAAAAACCCTTAAAGTAGTAATCATAGGGCTGCAAATGAGTCAACCCAACATAAGCTAATGAGGGGAGTCTTAAACGCACAGTATCCGCTGCCAGGGGAAGCGAACTGACTACGGTCAACAAGAACGGGTGAAACAGACCTGAGAGTCACAGGGCGGAGTTAGAAGTCACTTAAAATCAAACATTTCACAAAGTTCGACCATTTTGTATTATGGTCATAGGAAATATAACTTGGTGGGCATAGTGTTTCCTTCAAATGAAACATGTTGTAGCAAGTTGGTTGTATGAATTTGTTATTTCAATGAGATAAATGAGTCAGGGAAATATTTCTTGGTGGCGAATTACGCTGATTATTTGAATTTTTATAAATCCAAATATCAACTCAGCTCGGTGCTCAGCTTTTTTTTTTAGGTTAGGATTTCATCTTCATTATTATTGGCAAGATTTAATGGGAGCAAATGAATCCACAGAGGTGTTCAATCCTCTAAAATGAACAAATATGTGTGTGTTCAAATGCTGAATACAGCAGTTTCAAATTAAAAATCTGTTCCTCCCACTTTTGAGTGGGGCTAAGGGGGCTTATAGCACAAGCGCTGCTTAGTTTAACTCAATTATAATTTAATATCCAGACAACCGATGACCAAAATCATTCTGAACAGAATTAGAAATAGTACAAAGGGCACAATTCCTGACTGGATCATCCCGCTGCCTGTGAACACAGAGACATCAGAGGAAACTGTGAAGGCTTCTCTCCTAATGGGAGTGCAGATGCTTTTTATATGCCAACAGATAGGCTACATGTCCTATTTGGCAGGAAGTTTGTTTTCATGACAACCTCTTCATCCTATTGATGTTGGTAATAAACTGATGTAATAAACCGTGTGAGCAGATAGACAAAAACATCACTGCTCACTAACGTGATAGATGTGAGGAGAGGAAGCTGCAGAGAAACCTACAGAGTCAGCCCCGTCATTTGGACTGGATTAATGCATCATGTTCCTATCTACAGCAGGAAGAGACCTTACCCATACACTCTCACACACACACACACACACACACACACACACACACACACACACACACACACACACACACACACTCTTTACGTACAGCACAGTCTTCTGTGTCAAATAGGAACAGATGCAAGCTGCACTGTGCTATTTGATGCAGCAGCATCAAATAGGATCTATCAGGTTTTGAAAGACCACCCCAGTGTTTTCTTTGTTAACCATAACTCTCTTTCTTTTTTATTATAACTATTATGAGCAGTAGTAGTAGAAGTAGTAGTAGTATTTTAGCAATAATGGCTATTTTTTAACCAGAAACACAGTTTACAATATTATCTTCAAAGCCACCAGATTGATAAAAAAAAGTAATTTTTACAAAAGGAAATGGGAGTTGCTAGCTACTCTACTGCTCTGAGCCCTTCTTTTGTTTTTACTTCTGCGCCACTTTGTGGTTTTCAAGAGTTGTCACAGATTGAAAGAATAATCTGTTTGACAAACAACAACACGAACAAACTGAGCGAGGTACCAGTAGACAAATCTCTCTTTTGTTCCACAGTAAAAGGTATAATGACTGTTTTTATCTTGAGGTCTGGTGGATTAAAGAGAGGGATATGGCAGCTGTAGCTAAACACTGCAGTCTGCCCTTAGATTGCGGACCAGGATGCGTTTCCATGTTTAAAGACCCATACTGTATGTGTTGCTTTGAATGGTGACAAAGGCTTTAACTGCTGCACATGATTTAGCAGGTTTTGTGTCTGATGAGGCAGCAACATAAATGTTTTCAAATCGTTTTCTTTTAAAATGTGTTATATTCAAAGCTTCTCCTAAACACAGTACAGTATGTTATAGACTCTGCAGATTTGTCCTTGGTTATCCTCTACTCACTCATACATGTACATGTATTATGACCCTAAATGGTCTATTCTATTGGTCTAAGAAGACACATGCACTGGATTCAGTTCATCAATGTATTCATTTCAATGATCCTCCTTATTTCATCCATAATGTGTATAATGCATGTGTATCATATTGTATTAGGTTTTTTTAAGTCATGTTATGGAAGTAATTTCAGATACACCCCAATCATGATAAATGATCATGACTATCCATATTAATTTCCTGATTGGTTCTCATCAGCAACAATCTATCCATCACTAAATCATCACGCCTCTATCACACGCCCCTTTTACAGATGAAAAATAACATTTTAAACTTAAGTCGCAGCCATTAAATCATCATGTATAACTCACTACAGGCGCTGCTGACATTATTGTGCATGTTAGCTGCTGATATGTGGTCAAATTTTTATACTTCCAACATGACAGGAGAAAAGCTTTAATATCTGAGCATATAATGTGTCCTGAAGCAATTCCACCCCCCAAACTAGTGATTGTGTTGAGTCAGCCTGCTCATGATGTTTTAGGTGTGTTACAGCCAGTCATCAGTTCTGAAAGGAAAGTGCTTAAACACTCATTAGAACAGAGATAGTTTTGGTTTTAAAATTAATTAATAAAAAATGAAGAAATTTGAATGCAGGAAGTAACAAACTTTTGATGTTTCAATGAGAATTTGAATTTTTGAGAACAATAAGAAGATTATAATTTCTTTAAAACTTCACTCAAACGTTTGTCTCCTTTCTAACGGGGGAAAAAAAATCTAACTTTTCCAAATTTTTTACGGAAATTGGGAAAAACAAGCGTTAAAATCTCTGACAGGACTGTAAGAGAAGACTGTTGAACGTACAACTTTGCAGACTAACACTCGCTACGCACTACCGTACACGCAGCTTTGCCACAGCTCAGATATGGACAGTAAAGACCCGGACACGAGAGCCTGCTTTGATCTCCTGCTGAATAATCACCTTTTCACATAAGCTTCATGTTACACAGCAGATGAGTCAACAGTAACAAAACAAAGGTCCTTAACCCATTGTTTGAACACTCATGTTGTTAAATGGAGTATACTGTACATATGGCGAGAAAAAGCTTGTAACATGAGATGTGTGTGTGTGTGTGTGTGTGTGTGTGTGTGTGTGTGTGTGTGTATGTCAGGTTGTGTGCATTGCTTACATAATGCCGTTGGCGAGCAATCCCTGCTGAAAAGCGAGCTTTCGTGCTTCATGCTTATTAATAGATCCATGTCCCGTTTTACTTTGCACCTTGTAACAGACTCTGAACTTCTGTTTTGTCTGTATGTAAACTCAGTGTGTGTGTGTTTTCCAGCTTGTAAAATACAATACAAATGTTTGTAGATACTGCTGGTGATCTAGTATAAAGCCAAAGTTCTGATGTCTGGTCTGCCTGGCTCATAACAGTAGATTATGTATTACATTCATTCTGTCATTTCTAAAACTGCCTTTGCAAATATACCTTCTATGTGGTGATGTTGTATTATGTTTGAGAATTATACTTATTTAAGCCATAGAAGAAAGAGAAAACCCTGGAATAATTTAAATATCCCAAATTTGCAATATTATTATCAAATCAGAAAGTAGTTTTTCCTGCCTATGACATTGACTTATTTGAGTAAGAAGGGTCTACATTCAATGCACAGCACAGATTTTGCAATCCAAACCAAGTCAAATATATGAAAAACTACTCAGATTGAATACAAAATCATTTAACTTACCAAAACAGGTACAAACTGAAATTTACATCCATACAATGGTGTTCCAATTTCACAAAAATGTATACAATTTTAGTCTGAAGTTTCCCCCGAATCTAAAGAGCATCACTACAGAGAGAGAGAGACATAGAGAGAGACGGGACTGAGGGATTATAACAGAAAGAAGTGCCAGCCTCTCTTACTCATTCACTCCCTCTCTCTCTTTCTGCAGCACTCCTCCCTGCTGCCACCCACCCACCCACCACTTACACATTGGTACAGTCCGCCTCTGTACTGCAGTATGTGAAGAACGTGCCATTCTGCTGACTGATGGGGTGAAAATGGGTCGGGGCGGGGATGGGGGTGGAAGGGGGATGAAAGAGACATATGGGTGGCTGATGGGAGGGGGATGGATGGGTGGAAAGAGGCAGGCAGGGAGGGAGGGATGGATAGAAGAGGAGGAGGTGGAGCAGGGGGAGTGACAGATGTGTTGACTTAGAGAGCAGAGAAGCTTGATGAGATGCTTTCTCTACAGTCCTGCAGCTTCACACAGAAATTGTGTAATGTTGACCCTCTGTGTGTTTGTGTGTGTGTGTGTGTGTGTGTGTGTGTGTGTGTGTGTGTGTGTGCTTCAGTTTCTTTTAACTTTGTCTCTCAGCAGATTTTCTGTCTTTCTTTCTTTCTTTCACGCTACTGTTTTTATAGATGTATGCACCTGACTACGGAGAAAAGGAAATAAAATAATCCCCAATCTCCAAACCATGACCCTAAACTACACAACACAATCATAACAAAAACATTATATTTAATTGGTTACATTTACACAATACGCTAGTAATGGATCAATACACATTCATTAGATACATGAAGACATTTTCATGTATCTTGCATTAGCATTAGACACTCACTTCTTCACACACCATTTCATCTAAATTTAGTTGTTTTTTTTTGTTTTTTTTAGGTTGATTTTGAAACTTTGACCTACCAGTAATGCCTTTCAATATGAATCTAACAGCTTAGGTATAGAGAAACATATCAAAGAGGAGATGATTTTAACACAAGACTATTTCTCTTTGACATTGCATCTGCGTGTCAAAGCTCTGTCAGAAAGAGCTGCAAGTTACAATCAAGAGGCTAACAAAGCCGTCTTATTGATTTACACATAAATACGTCGAAGGCTGGACACTGGTCCATTAATCTGTAAATCATTAATTATTGGTTGCTCAATTATTCATTAACTTTTAACGTGGACATCCATTTGAAAACATTGACAAAACATTTAAAGTTAGGGTTGGTAATTTTCTCCAGAAACACTTTTTAAGATTTTGGTTGTAATTGTCTCTAGCTCCTGACAGAAATTAATAACTCATGTGCTCTAAACAAGGGACAAAGAAAAGCCGTCATCTGTAGCAGTTGTAAGCACGTAAAAACTTTGAACAATGTCTGCCACGAGGTACATATCTGATGAACCAATCATGCCTCCCTGTCTGTTTGCTTGTTCTCTACCCCATGCATGCACGAGCCCACACTCAAAGCATGAGCTGAGGTCCGCTTCTGGACCAATGGCGCTCGTGCATGTAAGTGAGGGGCGTGGCTTTTGAGGGAGCAGAGGGGAGGTGGAGGGTGTAGATGAAGCACTGAGGGAATGCTACTTTCAAAAATTAATTAATTTTTTAAATTACCTACCCTGCCTTTAACTTCTGGTAAATTTGGTATTAGCTGTAATATAGAAAGTCATTTTCCTAATTTGAATTCACTTTCGCCAAACCAAGTGTAAATGTTAATGATAAGTCTGCTATGCACAAGGTTAGCCATGGAGTTCCCCAGGAGTCAGTGTATGGACCGATTCTTTTGACCCTTTATATGATTCCTCTTGGTAATAATAATGAGGACACATTCCATTGATTTAAGAGATGACACCAATCATGATGTAGATAAGAAGCTTTCCTTAAGGACATTAGGACCTGGATAACCAGAATGTCTTTGCTATACTTAACTTGTGCTTGGCCCAAAACATCTAAGAGAGGTATTTTCTAATGATGAAACTGTCCTAGATATCATGTTTGGAATCTGGGAGTTCCATTTGATTAAGATATGTTCTCACCCTCTACTTCTAAGAGTAGGCTTATCATGTTTGTTTTTGATAAAGCTTTTAGTTAGGGCTGGCTCAGGCTTGGACTGACTCCTAGCTACTATAGGCTTAGATTGTCGTGGGACCTAGCACATTGAGGTTGTTGGTGTTATATTTCAGGTCACAAGCGATTTCATAAGTATTCAGAGTAGACTTATCTTCTGATTCAATGCCAAGTCTTTGTGTGTCCGTGTTCAAAGCATTATGTGCAGTCAAAATGGAGCACCTTTTGTGTACTCATTAGTGGTTTATGCTTGGAGGAATACACACACATACACAAACACAGAGACACATTCACTAACACAGATGTTGCCTGATGTTTCTGGTGTTCACTCAGCCCTCGGGCAGACAGCGGTAAATCAAGTCTTATTTATAATTCACAAATGAGTATTTTTTTAATACCAGGTTTATTTAATAATGTCTGCAAATGATGTCTCTGTTAGAGTCTTTCAAATTCAATTTGCAACATTTTTCAGGTACTTTGCCCAGACTTTGCCCAAGTACTCATACTATTAGTGTATTTTAACTACTTTCCTTCATTCAAACCTTTATTTAAGCCTTGTACGCCATTAACATGTCCCTCTTTTGAACCGAACAGCGTTTCTAATCTTGCAGCGCCAACTCGACCAATAAACTGATGTTTGCTATTATAATATAGATAAAGGCAATCAGGTTATCTATATGCCAAAGGAGTGTTCTCATTGTGCAAAACCTGCTGTGGGTCAGTTTATAAAGTCATGACACTGAAGTTAAAGTCTGTATCAGAGGGTGAAATTTTAACTTTCACAGAGAATAAAAGAGTAATGGAACTGATCATGTAATGCACAACTGAATGGATGATTTATCCTATGTAGTTAACACAATTAGATAAGCCTGAAGCTTTGATTCAAAATAATCATACAAATAGCTTCATGTACAATAATTTACACATGATATTTTATGCTATGTACATTTGACCATCACTACTTTTACTTTCAGTACCAAGTAAATATTACTTATACTACTTACATACTTTCTCTTTTTATAATTTCCACTAGATAATTTTGATTTCTGTCAGGTTACCTCCAAAAGTGAGATGAACAACTGACAGATGTAGTAGATTTTTCAAAGCTTAAACGTGAGTAGAAAAAGTAAAACGCATGATAGGATTGCAAATATTTAGGATATAGCAAAAAGCTCATCTGCCGCGAAAAAACAAAACTCCAACCTGCAATGTAACACTACCATTGTGATTTATTCAACATGGAATAATTGATTAGACATGTTTCAGCCACTAAAATGTCTGTTAATGCCAGGACATCATCAATTACAATTTATCTATGTGGACCCTAGAATAGAATGCGCTACTAGTAGAAATCCATCACTCCATACTTGGTGACAGACCACCCCTCTAAACCATACATGGTTCAGACCAGCTGGCCTCAATCCCCCTTACCCCCATCACAGTGTCACCAGTTGGTTTGGTGGGTGGGTTTGGTTTGATGTCACGCACACACACACACACACACACACACACACACACACACACACACACACACACACACACACACGCACGCACACACGCATTTATGGGATAGGAAAAGATGCTTAATCCCAGTGGCACACTTTGGCAGCGCAGCATAAATCTGATGACAGAGGATTACATCAAACATGATCATTAAGTCAACAGGCAGTTGATCTGGGGAGCAGGAGACACACTTTTTACTGCAATATAATATACATAAAGAGTCTGTACTCATCCACACAACATAAAGAGCCGACGCTTTCCATTCCTAGTATGCCTCTTTTACTGCCCAAACATCTTGACTCTACCATTCTCTGACACTTTCCCATTGGTAACATAAAGCAGATCTATGTCTGGTGTTGTATTTTTGGCCTCAGTCAAGGTTCCAAGAGAGATGAGCAGATACATTTACTGTAGGAGGAGTTAAGGAATTCACCCAGTCTCCAGTTAGAGGCAGCAGACCGTTACTGGAATAATCATGTATAAATTGAACTTACTAAATTGTAATGGCTATAGCATATCTAAGACAAAGATAAAAACTAAGACATCCACACATTATGTCATCTTGTGTTCTCTCAATGTTATTAAATGGTTAACTTATGTTAAGTGCACTACGACAAGTCAGATAAGTAATTTTGAAGTCTCAAGAGTCTGTCATTGTTCATTGTTCATGGGGTCATTGGGAGCTGTAGTTTTAGCCGACTGCTTTTTAACAGACTAAAACCCCTATTTTAGGTAAATGATAAAAGAGGATGATGAACGCCGGAAAAGCTGTAATGGCTGACTGACAGCCAACACTTTAGTCTAAGTCCTATATAACATGTTTCTTATTAGCAGACAAGAGACCCCTGCTTTTTGAAACTGCAACGCACATAACTTGTTAAAAAAAAATGTTAAACAGGCATCACACTAGCTCTGGGAAAAGTGACTACCTTAGCCTTATTAAAAACTACCTTCACAAGCTTTTCCAAGATTTTAAGATTTATGTCAAGGTTGCACTTTGTTTTCGAGTCCACAGTGGCCTGGGCCACACTTCTAGAAGCATTAAAGCCATATGAATTTAATGATCGTTACCAGCTTACACCCTCAGAGGCCTATCTGATCGTCAGACTTGGGCTTTCTTGAAGTTCCTCTCTTACATCTTATTCAAGGCGTACAACCCCTTACAGTCATGACCCCTAGACTGTAGAACAGCATTCCCTCTACTCACAGATCCCAGTCCCTATGTTGACTCACTTAAGTCTGTAAAACATACAGTACATTTATATGTAAGCATTCCAGTCTGTCTTGAAGTACACTTTTTGTTCTGTGATTTATTTCTTGTTGTTATGTAATTATTCATTTGACTTGTGAAGCATGTTGCTGTAATGATGCCGTTTATTCAATGTTTTCTTAATATATTTGATACAATTAATCAATTAATTAATTTAAATAGAATCATTATTTAGATAAAAGTGGGTCCTTTGGCAGTGTCAGTATACCTGACACACTAAGTCCCTCCTTGGTATTAACAACAGGAGCAGCAACAGAAGACCTTCAGGGCCAA